TGCAGGAGGACACCGCTCATTTTTTATTGGAGCGAAGAAAATGAAAACAAAACAGTTTCATTCTCTAACGAATGGTTTACGTGTGGAGCGGTCGTGCCTTTGCACACACTAACTTCATTCCTCAATACACGGTTTACTTGTGGAGCGGTAGTGTACAAGCATGGTCGCAAATTGAAATCAGTCTAAATCCTTGAAAAATTGAACAAATCGAGAAAACTTCTCTGGTAACATGTATTTTTTAATTCTCTTAGGGTCAAACTTACCTAACTGTTTGGGTTGAATACAGGATATAGACCAGAATCTGCTTTCATCACTGTCTGCAAAGCAAACCTCAAATACCCATCCCGGAACGAACCGAACAGATCAAAAGACCAAGAGAAGCTATGCAATAATAACAACTCCAAAACGATTCAATCCATCACATGGTAATAACCTCTCTCTGGAATCTCTCAATGTCAATCTCAATCTCACTCTCACTCACAATCTCACACCCTCGCTTCTCCCTTATCACTAACTGACAGTTATGTTAGGAGAAAATAGGCGGAGCTTAGTTGAGAGGAACTTTCTGGCGGTTCAGAGTATATCAAACAATCATAACCATATCAACATAGTCCACATCACTCAATACCACTGTAAGTTGTATGTATGTGCCAAAATGCACAAATAAGGTGTTTCTCAAAGGTTATAGGGCTGGTCGAACTACAAATCTAAACTATAGAAGGAAAACTCTCATTTGCAGAAGTAAGGCGAAAACAGAAAACACGCTGCGCACGCTGCTTCGATACCAACTTTCCAAAACATATGATTGGACTGATGTATTAGCTTGAGGAATATCAGTTGATTGTTATTGACTCACTGTTCTGTATTTTGAGAGTATTGATTCTGATAACAGTAGAACGCAAAGTTTATGAAGATTGAATGGAAGCAACAGCAAAATGAATGCCCTATATATAAGACAACATAACAAAATTTTGTCCAAATCGTTTCAAGTTATTATATAATTGAAAGAGTTTTGACAACAACAAGATCAAAATATGATTCTACCAATCGGTAACATAAAGCTGGTCGACTCCCCAGTCTTCGAAAGAGCCGTCGGGCAAATACCGACGAACAATGATAGGAATGCGACGATGCTTTAACTCTTTTCTAGCTATCTCTAATGGATCAGTTTCTGAATACGGCTACTGTAAAAGTAGTACGAAACAATTAAGTGCAAACCTCCTTCTAATTCAACCATAACAGGTGCCCCCATTGCTATTTGAAGAGCACGGGTACCAAGAACTCTAGCTCTTTCATACTTTGTCATAAAAGGAGTGGTAACCCGGTCTTGAGAAGCGGTTCCTTTATCAGCCTATAAATATGAACTCCTCAAAACTAATCCTGTTGTAGTTGTTACATACATCAATTATGTCTACACGTTCGTGGCCATCATCTTCTTCATTTTGTTCCATGTCGGCATCGACCATATCATCGTCATCTCCGAAATCATCCTCCATCTCTTGGTAATCATCATCATCAGCCATCTGAAAGTAAGTTGAGCACCACCGCTTTAAAAGAAACAAGATACGAGCCAAGCGAAAAACATGGAGAAGTTCAAATAACAAGAGCTAGAGTTATAAACTTTAACAATATCTGACACAACAACAACAGACAACAATGCAAAAAAAAGTCAAAATTAATAATAACAGAACTAGAATAGAGTCTCATCATCCTCCATAATCTTCTTCTTGATAGCTTCTTCTTTATCCATTGGCCTGATAGACCGACCGGCTTGCGTGACAACTGCAGGTTTGCATAAATCTTTTGTGACTGTAACAGGGTTGTAGTCTTTTCCGAGAGGTTGACTAATGGCTTTCTGGTAGTCTTCAACACTGGTATACGGAAATGGCAGCTCTCGAGGTTGTAATTTATGCACAGGCTGAAAAACTATTTTTTTTAAATGAACCGCAATGCTTGTTTTACCAGATCTGGCTTTTCTTTGATGATAACAGCTGATTTGTTTCTATCCTTTCTTTTTTTATCCGCCGCCTTGATGATATACCTCCTTTGCTTCCTTGCAGTCATTCCCGGACCAGCCCATGATCCCCATCCTTGTAAATTCAAATCTATGTCTTGCGGCTTTTCTTTTTCTTCTGTCTGAAAAAAAGGTACTCAAACATTTTAATCGGAAACTCACCCTCTCTTTCTCTTTTTCGAAATCACCTATAACATCTTCATCCTTGAATGCTTCGGCGATTAACTTGCTCTGGTCATCTGAAGATAATATTCTTCCTCGTTCTCTAAACATGATCAATGCTACCTTCTAACTCAGTTACTTGATCATCGAAATCAGCAGCAACTTTATTCAAATCACTAGTTTCCACCTTTAAGAAATGTCTGGGGTCCAGCACGAGATCAGGCTCAGCTTCTTTTGCAGGCTCTTTCTCTTTCACAGATTTTTTTTTCTTCTCGACAGGAGGAGTAGCTGCTTCGTTAGGTTCACCTTTTTTTATTTTCTAAAAAAAACATTTCATTAGTTCAGTTAGACTATGGAAATACTTACACCACGAAGCTTGCTTATTATGGCTTCTCCCGCTTGTTCAAAAATATCATCAACATCACCAACATGGCCTTTCACTTCTGAAAAAAAATAGTGGATTAAGAGTTCATCTACGAACAAATACTTGGCTGTGTAGACGACGAGTCTTCAACAGAAGCCGTAGACTCAGGCTTTGCTTTTTCCTCTTCATTAGCGTTCAGCTTTCTTTTCTTAGTTTTTTTCTTTTTCTTAGCACTAGCATCAGAAGTTGGAGCAGCAGTAGTACTGGTGGATTCCACTGGTTGATTTTGCGGATTCCAATCGGCATTCTCCTCAAATACATTTTCAACTTTCTCGACCTTTTCAACCTGAAGCGTCTTTAAGTTAAATTTGGAAGCTCACAAACAAGTACCGTTCCATCAGCTTTCAACTTAGCTATTTTTTCACGCTTCTGTGCTCTCATCTCAAACAGTTTCATTCGTTTCTCGGACTCGTTTCCCTCTTCGAAAGCTAGTTGAGATTCGGTATCGCCCTTGGCTGCAGCTAGAGCAGCACTCTGTAAAGTAACGTTTAAAACTGAAAATTAGAGCCTTCACCTTAATAAGGTCAGCTACGCTCTGCTTGTTGTCTGCTTCTTCGTCGCTATCACTGTCACTTTCGCTGTCAGTTTCCATAGAAATTTTCTCTCTCAGTTCTTTTCCAAGTCTATATTTTCTCAATAGTATCATGAATTTCGGGTTAATTCAAACCTCATATGCTCTTCCAATATTTTTTTAGCTGCAGGATCTTTACCTGCACGCCTGAGAACGCTCATTCTAAATTGACTTTTGGCGTTGTGTTTCAACGATCCTCTTTCCTGGATTGAAAATTGATGATCTCGATACCGGAATGCAAAATAGTACCAATACACGATCCGTCTCTAGCTGTTTTAACTTTTCTCTTGCTGCCTCAGGATCTCTCACAAGCAGTTCATCAAACTCTTTGATGAGTTGCTTACGCTTCTGACGCTTTAGTAAACGATGATATCTGATGAACTAACTAGTTAACTAAACCAGCAAATTTGGAACGTACCCTTTGGATTTGATTTTTTTCTGGTATCTGAACTTCGCCTCCTTATAACTGATCAAAACCCTATGCTTTTGTAATCTACGTAACCGCTCTTTAGCCTAAAAGATCATGCTTTACAGAACCTGTAGCAGAAATGTCACCTCTTTGAGGTCCATGGCTTTTAATATTTCAAGCTCAGCTTCGGTATAAACAACATCATTGTTGAGATTGTGCTTACTAGTTTGTACCAGATCGGACAGTTCCTTTTCGAAATCTGTTTTCGGCTAAAAAAATCAATGCGATGAATATTAATGAACCACAACAAACCCTAAAGCTGTCAGCTCTATTAGCGGCATTATCATTAGATAATACTCCTTCTTGATGAAGTGGAAAACTTAATTGATCAGCTAATCTATTTGATTGGACAATATCTGTCCAAATGGCCAAATCTTTCCTGTAACCGTGACATTACCATTATTCAATTCATTTATACTGACTTTAGCTCATTATAACCAACTTGTCCTTGTAATCTCTCCCGCTCCTGTCTATGCAACGGAACCGGGAGGGCTGAATTTTTTTTTTTGCTTTTCTTCTTGTCGTTCTCCACTTTCAACTTAGCAAGAGCTAATGATTTCCTCAAAAAACAATACTTCGAAGCTTATCAATGGCGACTATACTTTTGGACTTTTACTGATCCCAGAAGGTCCTGTACATCAATCGAGTGAACATTCTTACGTACTTGAGCCTATAAAGCAAGTATTCTACTAATGTAACAGCAAGTTACAAACCTTCTTATCCTTTCCTATGTTGATATTACGCAAGAGTGATTCATATCCAACATTATCTACATCCGAATCGTCTGACATCTTTGGAAGATATACTTCATGTTCCATAGATGATAAGGTACAACTGGATTTAACCAGAAGCTTTTTCAAATATTCAAAAAAACACGACATCGAGAATAATTTAATAGTGGTAAAGAATACATTAAACAGCAAATCACCGTAGCTACAACAAAACCGTATTATCAATCCTTGCCCGGTTTAACGCGTTAATCACGGTTAGCTATAGCGTTCAAGTGGGATTCTACTTGATCGTTTGTCAATTGTCTGGAATGGACAAGTTTTACAACATTTTCTCTAACTGATCTTACGTGCACTTTCTCTGAGTCTCAGTTACAACAAGAACTTCGACATCCTTAGCTCGAATCTCGATTCCCAGACTCGTTTGAAGAGCTTCCAAAGCTAGCTCAATAGCCTCATCTTTTGAATAATCGGATTTCTTCTTGATCTTCTTCTCCAAGAAGCTGATAGCTGGGGTCTGAGAATCATGAATGCAAATGTTTCATGTGACATTTTATTACCTGTTTGACACCGACAGCAACTGCTTTCATTCCTCTGTAAAAACCTGCAGGATCAACACGGAACACACATGGGCCATCCTCATCATCATATGAGATCATCAACAAAGCTAAATTTAATGGATTATTGGAAATATTTCACTAGGATTCCGAACCACAACCAAGACTTCTCATTTCAGCGTTTTGAGTATAGTACTGGTTCTTGTCAGCCATTCTTTTAGCTAAAAGCTCGCAGGGCATGTCGTAACCATTTTTATATTTAAACTCAGAAGCTTCAGACTGAGCGCGATAAACCTAAGAAGGTTGTAAACTGTTACTTCGAGAAGAGACGTACTTGGAACTTTCCATCAGGAATCATTCCAACAACACAGCACCCAACAGTTGGACTCAAATGATGAACAGAAGAAACCGAATCAGCCACAATGAGTCCATCTGGGACACGCTTTTGCACAGCAATGACAGCGGTATCAACACCCTAAGAATTGAAAATTGAACAAAATAAACCATTATTACAGACTTTCACGGCAACAGCGGTGAGATTTGTCGAGCTTATGGCTTTGAAAGCGTATTCAACCTGAACAAAAAATATATTGATGGAAAGGTAGGGCGTGCGAAACCTGATAAACACGTCCCTCAGGTGAGAAGATGGTAATGTGTCTGTCAAAGCCAGCGCTGCTTCCTCGAGACATCCTACTCCAAAAAAAAATTATTAGAAATTATAGATCATCATAAGTTAACGAATCAAGTATATTAAAAGGAGAAACCAGTGAAAACATGAGAGTAATAGCAAATCTGATTTTCAACAAAACAATAACAAAATAACAATGTTTTGTAAAAACAAGCTGGGTAAGTATTCTATTTACAACTATGAATATTCAATATCCTTCTTTTTACATTTGACACAGGTGAAGAAAACAGTTTGTCCTTCATCAGCGGATCTAGTTTGCAAAGTAGAAAAGGTGGCTTTACCGTGGCCACATCTGACATAGTGATATTAAAATGATGACAAATAAAAATGCTCTTACTTTGAACATATATGATCTACAACAGCACTTGCATCTCCATCGCCGTCTACATCAGCGCTCGAATAGGCGGGCTCATAGTTTTTGAAAGATGTAGAAACTAGTACATTATTTTTAGCTGAACAATATTTTTATATCGGACTCACAAGAAGAGAGAAACCTTTTACTATCCAAATCGAGTCACATACAACACAAGAAACATCGGAAGGGGCATCTGTGGGCATGGGTAAAATAGCTCCGCATAAACCACAGAAGTCTCCAAGAAGGGTTTTGAATAATTTGGACATTATCTTAGGTAGAACTAACTAGCAAAAATCTAAAATCATCATTTTCTCAACATTCTTGGGAGAACCCTTTTCGAACATGAACGCAAACATTTAAAACAAATTTTAATAATCATATTGAATAAATAACCATGCAAAACAAACCAATCACCCAATGATGATAAAAAAATTAAAAGAGAAAACAAAATGAGTACTCCGCGATGACAAATTTCGCTCAAACGCAAAACCACACAGCCCTTTAAATTAGCAGTGGAGCGCAGACTTTAATAACTGCGTCCAAACAAAGCGAAGAATTTAGCAGGTTTGTTGCATGCTGGGAAAATGCACTTAGATGGAAGAGTTTCTGATGGCTGAAATTCATGATGAGTTATTTATGTAGTAATACTTCACCTGTTCCAAAGGAATACACAAAGTTTTAGCTCCCATCTGTGCCCCTTCACCATCTTCACGAGTAGTAGCTTTCTTAATTTCATCCTCACAATCTGGAATGCCACAGAAAGGCGACAACAGAATGTATTTCTCGTCAAGAAGTTTCTTGAACTCGGTCAGGTCTGTGCAAAGCTTTTTGTGTTCATCACGCTTAATAAGTACCCTGGAATCACAAAGGCGTGAAAGGGTGAACGGGACGCAGTTACTCACTTCTTGTACATCTCGTGGTGAATTTCTTCCAAAATTTGAGTGATACTCTCACCAATATTTTCTAGTTTAATAGGTTTCTTCTCCCCACTGTGTCGAATAACCGCAGTAACTTGTTGAGCAGCAAGATCTTTAGGACCAAGTTCGAGACGGATCGGTACACCTTTAAGCTCCCAGTGATTAAACTTCCATCCAGGAGAGTAATTATCTCTTCAATTTAGCAATATACATTCAACTATCATGAAGCTGATATTACCTGAGATCGGACTCGGCGCGAACTCCAGCATCGACGAGTGTTCCTGTGATGCCAACAGCATTTTGAGTAAGTTTTGCCTTTTCCTCTTCTGTGGTATTAGCAGTAACTCCGACAGGAACAACAATAGCTTGTATCGATGCTACTCTAGGTGGAAGAACTAAGCCGTTATCGTCGGCATGAATCATGATCATTGCTCCGATACTTCTTGTGGAAAGACCCCAAGAATTCTGCCAAGCATAAGTCTTAAAATATAAAATTATTTCGAATACTCATGGCACAACCCACTTTTCCTCCATTATTGGGATCTTCATAAGAAATGTCGAACATTTTGGAGAAGTTCTGTCCCAGATGGTGAGATGTGGCACCTTGTATTCCTCTTCCGTTGCAAGGAACGTAAGCTTCAACTGTAGTAGTGAAATCTCCTCCAGCAAACTTCTCCTTAAATACATTTCTTGCCAAAGCCTGGAAGAAAAAAAAACCTTTTCACTCTTGCGGCCTTTGACTACTGGAATAGCCAGTAAGTCAGTGTAAACACGAGCATACAAATCTAAGATTTGGAAAACTTCTTTTTCGGCCTCTTCTGGAGTAGCGAAAGCTGTGTGTCCTTCCTGCCAGAGGAATTCACGGGTTCTGAGGAAAGGAGTTGGATGTTTGAATTCCCAGCGCTTGATAATTCAATTATTGAAAAATACAGTATAATCATACTCACCACAACGTTACACCATTGGTTCAACTTTATAGGGAGATCTCTATGAGACTGAACCCATTTTTTGTAAGAAGGGTACATAACTGTTTCTGATGTAGGACGAATGGCGATAGGCTCAGCCATTTCGGATGATCCTGCTCTAGTCACCCAAGCAACCTGAAATTGCTTGTAGCGAAAACTTTTTCAATACAACTCACTTCAGGGGCGAAATCAGCAATATGAGTCTTCTCTCTTTCAAGAGCTGCGTTGCTAACGAACATTGGGAAATAGCAATTTTTAACACCAAGCTTCTTGATTTCTCCATCAAAGAAGTTCTGTAACGAATAACAACTAATCAGGCAGAACAATATAGCAAATAAAAGTTGAGGAACAGCGTGATACGTGATCATGAAGACAAAGTAAATCATCAAACTCACGGTTATGAACTCCCAAACAGCATAGGACCACGGACGTAATACATAACATCCGGAAACGTCGTAATACTCTATCATTTCAGCCTTTATGATGACCTGAGCTTTCGTATTAAACATTCGAAACTTAGTTTACCCCACCTCACTGTACCATTCAGAATAGTTATCATCCTTTCTCACCGAAATTCCAAGCTTGGTTTGTTTTTTCCCATCTTGCTTCTTTTCCTCTTTTTTGGGTTGTGGTTTAGCTTGCTATACTACGAATAAAAAATGAAAAAATTCATCAAATACCTTTGGTGCTTTTGGTGCTCGTCCACCAGCAGCTTGGAAATCCTGTCCGGTAACCTCTTTATACGATAGCTTCAATTTCATTAACTTTTCAACCTCTTGTTCAATGACAGTCTGTAAGTAATAAGTTGCTTCATTGAGCTACAGCCAATAATCCACCTTTTCAGCACCGTCAGCTTTCAACTTACGCACAGCATTTCCTTGATCCCCGATCTGCTTCTCAATTTCTTCAGCAGTACTCATTCTCGAAACTGAAATGTAAAGTATAAGTTCAGAAAGCTCAAAGCTAGGTTGTGAACGACAAAATGTTCCAAATGGTCAGTTGCGCATCAACCTACATAAGGAGACGCGAAAGAAAAGGCAAATAAAGAGAGAAAGTAGATTGCGCAAACTGGAATTGTCATTCGAGACCAGAGAAGCAAAGAAAGATTCGGAGACACATAATACAACAAAAATGAATCAACATATTGACTTCCGAAAAAACGGAGATTTTACATAAAACTTATAAAATATCATTAATATTTATACAGTTTTCAATTTGCCTCGTTTTCGAGCAATAAAAGTTTTTCTTGCTCTTTGTCCACAGTGGCTGCATACTTCTCTCGGCGATCCTGAAGGATCTTATATAAACTCTGAAATAAACTAGTCAGAGATAATAAAGATGAACAATCTAACAGAAGATATGGCATGTCGAGCCCTGAACGGCTCTTCTCCATCTTTCTCCACATATTCTAACTCATCGAGCATATTAGCAGGAACAATTGTTGGGAAAACATCAACCAGCTCGTGTCTTGGGCGTAAGCTATGCAGTTTATTCACTACTGATGGAAGAAGCTCCTCAAAGAATGTGTCTGAATTTCAGAAAAATGAATTGCAACGTACATAATTCTTGTAGATTATTGCAGAGACTATGAGAGGGATATGTAGAGTTTTGTCTTCCAATATAGAAATTGTGGACTCGTCTTCAACTGTCTGAGAAACATACAGTATCGTAATAATAGTATTACAAATGATCAATACCTCGAGAGAACTGAAAAATTTTTCATAAACCGGGATGTGTTCACGACATTTCTGCAGTAAATCGTGAGTGCTACATTGCGATAACTCTTGTACATTCAAAAGCTCTGTAGGTACGTCAGACGAGAGCTTATCACCTCGTTTTCTAAAGTTTGTGGAAAATCAGATGGTGGAATGATAATCAAACTGACAACTGAGCTCTAAGCAGATGAACTCTACTAGGATCCGATTTTTCAAAACATGTAACGGCTGTATCATAGTTCCCAAATAACTCATTCAATATTCCAATGTACAAGATATCTTTTTCAGAAGGGTTCCGGAAGTCTTCAAATCAAAAAAAAATGTGATAACTGGAACATAAATCTACCTGGAATGTTTTTGATTTTTTCGACATCAATCTTGATGATAGATGGGTCGAACTTCTCCCTGCTTTTGATTTTCTCACAGAGAAAGCCGGCGTATTTGGATGCAGAAGGAATCTGAATATGTTTGAACACAGATTCGGTTCAGAGAAATACCAAAGGTTCCCAACTGAGTGACTGCTTGTACATTTCAAACGCTTCGAAATTAATATTTTTAATCTCCGCTTGCCAAGCCCATAGACACCAACTTGGTGCTGATTTGGGATCATATCGGATTGAGCTCTCAAATGCTTTGAAAGCTAAATCAACCTATAAAAAAAACTATGCACACATCTAAGAAATATCAGACCTCTCCGTACTGAAGGTATACTAATCCTAATCTCAACCAAGCTTCAGAATTCGTAGAGTTCAACTCCAAAGCTCTGATGAAGCAATGAACTTGTTGGGGAACAGTATAGTTGGAAAGGCGGTACACCTCACCCATTAATGTCCAGAAAATGGACTTAACACGCTGAGGAAGTTTCCAGAGCAGTATTTTTGTTATGCAATCTCTAGCCCTAAATAATCGAAAAAAAGTTATGATGTTTCAAGTGACGATATACTTTTCCGCATAAGTTTTCTCATTGGAGATGAGTGATAACATAATGAGGGCTTGTATTAGATCGACCCAAGCAATGACATTAGACTTATTCAAAGCTACAGCGCAAGAAAAAAAAGACACCGCTGTTTTCAAACAACTAACTGTAGAAACACAATGCCAACTTTCAGGAAACTGGAAAAAGACGGTAAGAAAATAAAAAAAGAGAGTTAACCTCGTAAAATGGAATGAATTTCTCGGACATTTTAGCTATTTGCATTAAAGAATCGCCTGCATATTTGTAAGCTCGTTCGTTTCTTGAATCTGACTGCAACACCGAGGATGAAAGATGGATGACAGACTTGAGCTCGCTCCGCTTTTGTTCACCAGAGCACTTGAATGAGTATCGGAACGTACACTGAACGGTATTTTGAACATTGAAGTAGTAGAATCTGCTGACCTCAGCTTTGGCTAATTTCAAGAAAAGCAGTGAGTCTTCACGTAGTTTAGTTTCGTCAACATTTTCACATAGAGCATGAACCTCAGTAAACATTCCAAAACGAACATATAATTGAAGAAGCTGAAACTCGTGACTCTTAATTGAAACTGAATTAAAAAACGAACCGGCACAAGGAAATCAGAATTAGGTCGTAACCGTAAGCATTCCTTATAAGCAGAAATAGAGGCTTGTAATTGGCCGCTATAGTAATAACTCTCAGCTAAGTTACTCCAGGCCCAAAGGTCATCAGGAGCGGCGCGAACATAATTTTGTAAATAAAGTATTGCTTCCTTGTGATCATTTGTCTTCAAAAACAAACTAAAATTGCACGTCTTGTTTTTTAGAAGCTGAGTATGACAACTCACTTAATCAGTCGTTTTGATGCCCAGACGATTCCTTTCTTGGCTAAAACTTTCAAAGCTTTTGACCTCTCATCAACGGGATAGTTCAAACTCATCATCAACTTCAAAGAAATCCAACTATGAACTAGAAACAGGGAAACTCACATCATCCGATGCTTTAACATAACGATCTCTCGTGGGGAAAATGTCGACAGCTCGTTTAAGAAGACCACAAGCCTTACTTGCGTTTTTCTTAGACAAAATTGAACCAAACATATAGAAAATTTCAGCGTTGTAAGGGTTTTTCCTAGCGGCCTGTAATATTGACTGACTTATAGATGTTTATGTGATATCAACCTCTAAGTATATTTTAGTCGTTTCTTCACCGGCTTTGAAATGTGAGCGAGCTGCTAAGATCCAATCCAAATCGCTTACAAGAGGGTTGGTTAACAGATTTTTCACATCAATGAGGGCAGATTTCGCATCATCCATAAGGAGTTTCCTCGTTATGATAGCGCGAGTCATTTCGATTTCATTCAAATTAGTCATCCAGCTTTCGTCGGTATCTTCCAGCCAAACTTTGATTGTCATGATTTCCACAGAGAACTCTCCCAAAAGTTCAGGATTAACCATCTTATATAATCTAATATTTTGTCGTTATAATATAAATATATGTTTTGAACTAACTTTCTGGCTTCTTCGAACTCTTCAAGCGCGAGGTGAGCTCGTATAGTGAACCAAGCAGCAGTTGAAGATATCTTTTCCCCCACTTTGGTCGTAGCTAGCGTTTCTGCATACTAAAAAAAAACTGAGTGTTTCACACTTCTTAGATGAACTTACACTTTTCACCTTATCCCATTTCTCAACACAACTGAAAATCCTGATCGCTACGAAGGAGGCCTCGCTATTGTGAGGAATTTTGTACAATTCCAACACGGGAACTACTAGTGCAGTACCCTTATTTCTTGAAGCAATTCCTTATACGACGTGCCACTATAATCTCACCTCAGCTCCTTTAAAAATTTTATGGCCAAGTTATTAGTTGCGTCTGATTCAATTCTATCAACAACATCCCAATCTACATCCCCCGTGTTTAGAAACGCTTAAAACTAAACATTACCCTGAACCTTCTATGTGAGTTAAAGCCTTACTTGAAGCGCATTTATTAGTGAGAACGTTGACCAGCCATTGATCAGTTATTTTCTCTTCAGTTGGTAAACTTTTCAGGTATTTCAGAGTCTCCGTCTCCCAACTTGGATTGTTCTGAACCGATAAGATACAATGTTTTCTTGAAGAATTTTAAAAGTACCTGAGAATTAAGATATTTCAAATATGGTAACTGAATGGATGGGTACTCGCTTATACTATTTCCCACTTTTTCATAAGCAGCTGTGAGCTGAATTTGTTGAGTTGGAATTCTTCATAAAATAGGAAACTGACAAGCTTCTTACTAGTTGAAGACAACAATTTGTTTGAACTTTTCTCTATGATTTGAACGAACAATTCGATGTCCTCACCCAAATCTTCCAACAAAGCATCATATTCTCCAACTGAAAAGTAGATTCTTCTCAAAACCTTCTTGATTGCTTCCTTTTTCTCATTGTCGCTGCTAACAGTATGAATAAAGTCAAAAGAGAAAGAGGCTATACCTGGTTTCCATTACCTTTTTGCACGCTTCAACTCCTTTCACATCATCCGAAATACTGGCATCCTTATATAATTTGAAGAGGCCTTGCCAAGCTGTGGGAGCAGAAGTGTCGAGACTGATTGCCTGAAAACAAACTGTCCAAACACAGTGTCTCATATATACCTTATTATAAAAATTCTGAGCTTCAAAAAAGTTGTTTAAATTGGAATTTGCTAACCCAGCAAAACAAAAAAGCATATAGTTGTTTGTGCCATTCATGAGATGGGCCTAAACAAATGCATTCAGAGCTGGAAACTAAATTCAAGACCTTGAGAACATCTAGTGCATCACTATTCTTTCCTTCTCCCAAATACGTTTTGGCCGTTTTCAGATCTGTTTTTAAGTCCGTCATGACACAATCCTAAAGCATTACTAACACAAATTTAATGAAAAGTCAAGTATCCAAACTCTCGTGAAGACGTTAAAAGCAAAAACAAAAAAGGGAAAACATCTATATTCCTTGCAAAACAAATACAATAACTAGATACAAAAGAAGTCATGAAGACATTCATATCTACTAACTATTATTTCTAGACAAAGTCCACTCAATTTTAGAAGTCTATTCCAATTGTAGGAGCAAAATGTCCAGATCCTGCAGTCATGAGCGTACGTCCTTGCTGTCTATCCCACCATAACACTTCTCCATCCAAGCAAGCTTCGTTAGATTTATCCTGAACAACTCAATCATGAGATATTCCCAGAAAAAGGAACGTACCCCAGAAATGAACATGAGGCGGGTGTACACATAAAATGCAACCAGAACAGAGCCCACGTATAGAAGAACAGATTTCGGTGTGAAACGGAAGAACTCTGCTTGCGTCATGTCAGCAGAATACCATCTGAACATAGCTGGATCCATAACAACACCCTCCTTTAAAAAAGTATAACGGTTCCTCCGTTAAATTGAAGTTCTCACTTTGTATTTGAAATTGGCAGGGTCATATTCGCGACGTAAGTATTCTTTTTTAAGAATTTCCTTCACTCTGTAACGCCACAAAACAGCTTTCTTCTCTGAATCTGTGAGGTTGTATTCTTGTCCCGCAACAAACTCAGTTTTTCCTAGACAAAAAGAATGTTACAGCAATGCAAAATAATAATAATTACCGTGAGTTTCGAAATATCCTAAGACAGGATCTTGCCATAGTCTGGGATTCTTCACATTCTGGTTAGCAGCTCCGAGTAGTCTCAATGCGAGACGCATCTTAGATTAATTCCCAGCTGAAATAATATTCTAAATAACTGTTGAACATTTTTTAGTCGAAGCGGAGAGGGATGAAATCAATCAACAAACTCTAGGATATGACAAAATAATAATTACAATTTGTTAATATTAATCACTATTGTGATTAACATTTATATCATATTAACTGCTCATAACATATAAGCTGTTCTAAAAGTTCTTGTGCAATAGTTTCATCCCATTCGCAATGGAGCGCAAAGTATAAACAAGCTATCCGCCCTTTAATATAAGTGCTCGTCCACCTGATAACGTACACGACTAGAAACAAAGCTTCATTGAAAGCATAAAAAAGCCTTTTTGCTTTCATTCTTCAAATTTCGATTAGCTCTAGATGTTTTACCGGTATCATTCGGCAGATAAACTTTTTGGCTTTTCAAAAAATGTTTGAAGCGGTTAGCACAACTGCTCCATTCAATGATAACAGTAGAATGAAAATACCACTGTTTTCATTTCTGTTTTCCAAAATAATCAGAGCGGTTGTTCATGACGGAATAGAATCAGTTGAATATATACTCTCGTTCGGAAAGATATATAAATTGTGTATATCTATTTATATATATATATATATATATATATGTGAGTGTGAATATAACACTATGAAATGAAACACAGCTTCTAAGAAATCATATTAATTTACTCTTTAAGTCGAATCTAAAAACAAGTAACTCATTAAGCTACTTTCTTAGCACCTTGATTGGAAAAGATCAAGGTCCATTTGAGCATACAACACATTTAAAAGACAACACGTATAAAAAATATAACAAAATATAAAATCTCAACAAATTAAAAAAAAACAATCTACTGATTAGTATTCTGATTAAAAATCTGAATAACTCTGCATTTTAGAATCTTTTGTAACAAATAGAATGAGAAAACTTAGCTGCAAACGTTTCACAAACTCACAACTCTAATTACATTATATGTACTACTTAACTATCGGTGACATTTAAGATTGTCTGTCTAACTGACTAACAGCAAATTCAGCCAATACATCAGCTACTCCATCGACATTAGGGAACATTTCGGCCTACATGTAGAGCTATTCCTTTTTATTTCTTGTACACTTACCAGTCTAACAGCTTCCTGCACATGATGCTCGGCGAGAGCCCGAGTTCTCTCTAAACCGTTAGAACTAAGTACAATTTTCCTAGCCAAGTCAGGATCTCCGGGCATTGAAAACTTCCGAGTCATCAAAGTGTACAATTCGGGGTATTGATATGAAGCGTAAATAACAGGCGCTGTTGAGAGTCCTAAACAATGGGAATGGTTATGGAATAAGAAATCGCTAAAACCAAGCTTCAAATCAGTTGCTACTGGTTTCCCCATGTTTTCGGCAGAAGACACAAAGTCAAGTAAATCATCAATCAATTGGAATGCTAAGCCTAAGTGTCTTCCGTATTCGTAAGCTCGAAGTTGGAGTTCGTTATTTCCCTCTTTAAACAAATTCATTATAATCAACCCGAATTCGAACAAACCAGCTAATATGGCGGCACTTTTACAAGTGTTCGCGAACAAGCTTGCAGTTTTTTTGAAAGTTTTCTCCATATAGTTCGAAAGAAGATCCTCGGAAGAATCAGCTTTAGCTGTCATCTGCATGAATTCACCCTACAAAGTCAAATGCTGTTTATTGCAGGGCTGGATTGTTTCTTTTACTAAAACGAGATCCTCAATGATTGATGCCATTACAGATATAACATTCGGTCTCCCGATAGAGCAAAGAACCTGTGTGGCTCTGGCTAATATATAATCGCCTACCAAAACGGCCTAACAGATTATCGATTATCAAGGAACAATTCCTTAAGGTATACCATTTTATTCCCCCAAACTGCGTTAACCGAAGCGCTCCCTCGTCTTGTATCAGCACCATCAATAACATCGTCATGCACAAGACTGGCGGTGTGAATCATTTCACTAATCATACCAATTTTATATTGATTTAGAGAAACGTCATCTGAACCACATTCAAGTCTAAAAAAAATTCAAATCTTCATCACTATAGCGATTCACACGTTAAAGGCGATGACGACGTCTGTTCGAACGACGAATTACAAGCTTTGGCCATCACGAGAGCTACAGTCGGGCGAAACATTTTGCCTCCCTAAAAGCATAGCTGGAGCTTCTCAATTACTGCTCACTTGTTCAAAGTAATATTTGGCCATCAATTGAAGATTAGCAGTGAACTGTGAATCGGATTCAGCCAAGTTTGGGGAACGAGGAACAACATCACTCACAAACTGAGCAGCTATCTCAAGCTAGACAATAAAATTGAATGAAAAACATCAAAAAGTTTGGAGTTTACTTGCATATCTTTAACCTTATCACAAGCGAAGGCTGGAACATTTTTTTTTCTGCGGGTTTGAACTGAAAACTGTCTAAATTTGGTATGATATGTGATAAGACATCGTGACGGAATATACCTATAGCTAAGATTGGCTTGAAAATACACCCTGAAAATTGACGTTGACCTTCCATGCATCGTCTTGTCTAATCATCAAAATAAGCTATTAACCTTCAAAAATCAACTGTATCGAAGGCAAAAACCATAGGAAGCTGCATGATGAAAAACAGAATAAAATTTTATTACACCAGTTTTAATAACATTTAATAGAGAAGTTAAAGAATAAATCACAGACACGCTTTTCCCTTGATCCCACATGAATTATAAAGCAGATTAGAGAATTTAGTTAATGGCATGAAAATAGAAACGTGAATTAGCCAATTGATGAAACCTATATAACACGCTGTCTTAAAACTGAAACTTCACGGAAAATTGACTAGAATGTCAATTTTTTTTAACGAAAATTAGAAGGAACTCAAAAAGGCTACTGCTCAACAAGAAATCGTTTAATATTTAAATATGTCTACAACTCATCCTTATCAAGCAATGTATACCTATTATGAGATGGTTTCAATTTCTCAAAAACACTTGGAGGTGGCTGCGTTTCGGAAGGATCCTTAATAAGACCGTTCGATTAACAGTCAGAAACCTGTTCAAATTACCTGTTGGTTTTCGATTGCAGGTTGCACTGGGTCTGGGCCATGATGAAATTCTCGATGCAACTTTCCACTGTGTAAATCAAGTACAAACTGTCTTAACTTTCCTGATACTCTGCAGAGAAAATACATTAGAAGTGAATTAGATGTTGAGCTATACGTCAAATCATTAGTGTTAGGGAATAAATACATGTGTCTGAAAGAGTCGATAGCTATAACAGGCAAGTCATTCTCTGATTTTCCCAAATGATGAAGTGGATGAGCAAACTTTTTACCATCGGCTATCAAGCAATTGACGGTAGCTGAGAAAACGGAACAAATAACGTTATCATTTCAGTCTTGATTTACCCTTTTGATCAGGAATCTCTCTGATTACAGCGTCACTGAATACTTTTTCACTTTGATTGTCGTCAGGATGCTTGAAGAGAATGAGGAATGGTAGACCTTCCTGAGACAACATGACAAATCACTTCTCCTTATCAGGCAAGAATTACCTCGGTTAGTTCTTCGGCGTTCTCGAAAGTGATTTCCCTGACAAGAGGGATACAATGCTCGCTAACCCATGATCTTAATTTAGCAAGTTATAAGAAAATCAGTAAAAAAAAATAAACTTTAACTGATCCAAGTTACCCAAGTCTCCAGAATAATACTGCTCTTCGTTCGACGGAAAGGGGAACGGATTATTTAAATTCATAGAAGGAAGCTTACATTAGAAGGTCTGAAAGCTACTTTGGCACCCTGGTTCAACTGAGCGGCAAAGCCAGGGTTCTGTCCAGCAAAGAAATTACAATCTTCGCGCAGGATGGATGCTATCTAGAAAAATATGAAATTCAAGCATAAGACTATTGATGGAGTTTACTTTCTTGAAATTATCATAAGCTGCACCTTCCAACGCTGGGAACAAACCTACCACTGTTCTTTTTGAAGCCTAAAACTTAAGAATGATTTCGCAACAAAAGTTAGGCTGTAACCTCTAGCTTCTGCTTCAAATCTTCAGGATTCTCAACAGTTTTCAAACTTGAAGCAAGTTGCTTGGTGACGAAATCCGATAAGGCATCTACCGAGCGCCGACTTCTGAACTTATTTGATAAAAATCGTATATGAAGGTCAAAAACCTATATTCTTTCTTGATGATCTCTCCGTTGCGGAAAAGTTTCAAAGTTGGATACTTGTTGACATGATATTTAGTAGTAATGGCGGCTAAAGCATCTCATTTTAAAATGTAAATTGAAACTTAAGACTAACGCTGACGATCTGCATCTACTGACGCCCAAACTACTTTGCCAGCTTCTTGATTCTGGAAATCAGAAAACATCATGAGAAAAACTAAGAGTCTTATACAGCAAAAAGTTCACTGGCTTCCAAAAATATTGGCTTCAGCTGCTGAGAGAAACGACACCAGTCCGCATAAAAGTTAACAAAAACTACTTCATTATTGCCTTCAAAGATAATTGGTTAGGATGATTGAACATACTGTGATAATGGATTGATGGAAACACTCACTCAAAATTCCATCTATGTTTGAATTATCCAGAGGAACAACTAGACAAGAAGCTGCGTGCAGTAACGTAACCAGTATCAATGCCCGCATTCCCGCAGAGAAGAGTTTGGTAATATCCTGAAAGTATCAAAAAAGTTAGCTCAATTAGCATAGAAATAGGAATGTTAAAAGTTCATATCAAATGAGGTCAAGGCTTCTTGATATCAAACATTATTATAAAGGCTTGCCACAACAGTAAATATTAGAGTAAAGGACGGAATCATGTCAAGCGATACTGTAGATTACGATTGGAGCATATTATTTTCTCGAAGTGAATTTATATTAGAGTTAGAACTTAGAAATCGCTATTTTGGCTTCGAAGAGATTGAAATGCTTATGAACAAGGATGCAATCTTCAAGAAACTCTCATTTGGAACTAAGCAACATTCTAAACCCAAGGTTTACTTTTCATAATAAATCAATCATGTTTCATTTGCAGAAAGCCGAAGAAAAGTTAACATTACAAGTACTCCCTGAGGATGTTAAAAATGAATTAAAAGAACTTGAGAAGAAGATTGCTGCAGTCAATGATGGTTCCAATAAAAAGAAAAAAAACATCAAGAAAAAAAGAACTGAAAATGGTAACAACAGCCTATCTGAGCCCACGAATGAAATGTTTTTAGAAATCGTCATTATTACGAAAAATCAAAACTCAGAAATGAGCGAATCAGAAATAGTCGAGGATAAGGATAAGATAACCGAAAAATACAATAAAAAGGTTAACAAATGATAAAATCTTTTCCTAACATTCATTCAGATTGCTGAGTTACGTCGCTTAAATAGGATTTACTACTGGGGTGATGATATCCCGAATCCTATTCTTGAGTTTGAGGATGTTCAAAATATACCCGAGGGAACCTTGCAGTTATTGCAAACTATCGGAATAACAGATCCCTCTCCTATTCAAATGCAAGCTATACCTCTTATGCTTCAAAGACGAGACACACTCTGTTGCGCCCCGACAGGTAACAATTCAACGTCTCCATGGAACATCAATTTTTTAAGGATCTGGAAAAACATTGGCTTTTGTTCTGCCCATACTAATTGATATTATTCAGTTCAAAAAAACTGAAAAAACGTGTCCAAATGCACTTTTGGCCATCGTACTAGCCCCAACTCGTGAATTAGCTTCTCAAGTTTGTAATATAACTTTATCCAAAGACGTAAACCATTATTTCAAGACTCATAAACAATTCATCAAGTTTGGTTCTACGGCTGATATTAGTTATGCTCTTTTCGAGGATAATGAAATGCCAAAGAATGGTTTGTTAATATGAATCACATTTATTGCACCTTCAACTTATAGTTAACGTCATTGTTTCGACCCCCAATAGACTGGTGCACAGTTTGGATAACGCTGACTTGTCTCATCTCAGATGGCTTATTGTTGATGAAAGTGATCGTCTTTTTGAAGTCGATGAAGGAGAAGCTCGTTGTTTCCGTACACAGGTAGAGCCAAAACTTAATTACTGTTACACAGTTTTACAGCTCGGAGGTATTTACACTGCTTGTAAGAACGGAAAGTGTGTAAATGCTTTCTTCAGCGCCACTTACTCAGGTCATGTCGAAAACTGGTAGGAGAAACAATGAAAAAAAAAGCTAAAAGATCAATCCTTCCAGGTGCAAAGAAAATATTCCTCACTTTGCCTCTGTATGCATAGGAATTCGGTAGGATCAGTTTTCTGACCAATACTAATTATGTTTTTTTCAGAAATAGCAGTAATGCTTCCGTGCATCAAAAGCTTGTGTATACAGGATCGGAACATGGAAAGATTGTAGCCCTGAGAGATATTCTATTGAACAAGTTGAATCCATCTGTTCTCATATTTGTACAGGTGAAATTGGTCGGCTCTTTTGAGATATGTTACAATACGTATTATAGAGTAAGCAGCGCTGTAGGGAATTACTCAAAGCTTTATCTAGTATCGCTGCCAAAGTACCGATAGGGACAATAAGTAGTGAAAAGACCTTAGCACAAGTAATAGATTTCTAACAATTCTCATTTCGAACCTATTCAAGAGGGAAGAAACTATCAACGAATTTCGAACGGGGGACATTTTGGTTCTCATATGCACAGATGTAATGGGACGTGGTTTGGACTTCAAAAACGTTAATATGGTTATCAATGTTGACTTACCAACCACCGTTATAAGTTATATTCATAGGATTGGTAGGTTTTCATTATGTGAAAAAGAACTAAATGTTTCTTCCAAGGTCGAACTGGACGTGGTGGACTCAAAGGAGAAGCTATAACCTTTTTCACAGATTCGGATCGAGGAAATTTACTGCCAATCGCGCAAGTAATTCATCAAGCTGGATTTGAAATTCCGGAATATACCATGAAGCTTAACTCGCTAACAAGGTTGTTGAAGAATCGAGACATAGTTGTATACTTAAGGTTATAGAGAAAAGAAGATGAAATTGCGAAAGTTTGGAGTGAAACGTGAAAAACTGGCAAACCTCCCCCTGTCAAAAGCCAAGATGTTTAAAATTATGAAGAAACGGTCTGATTTGAAGGTAAATTCTCAAAATTTTCAACAAGCTTTCACTTGGAATGTAGAAAGAAGAGGCTGCTACTGTCAAGGCTACGGCTGCAAAAACAGAAAAAAAGCCCAAGAAGAAAACCAAGCCAGACACCAAAACTAAAAGAGTTGCAGAGACAGTAAAGAGCGATGCCTCCAAACCGTTGAGGAAAAAGAAGAAGACTATCTAATTCTGATGTTGAGTTTGAAAATTGTTACTGTTATTGTTATTGTTTTCTGTTAAGATCACTAATAAAAAATTCAAAACATCATGCTGAACTAGATTCGAAAAGTTTGATTGATAAGAGCTTGAAGATATTCCGCTCCTATAGAAACCTTATCTATGACTAATGAAATGAATAGATAGAGAACAGAGCAGAAGCGACATTTGACTGAATCTCATCAACGCATATGAATTCGAGTTGGAAACTCATTTGTTGAGCTTATGTTTGAGAGCTGAATTGGAAAGGTAAACGAGCAGTTAGTGACATACGCATTGAGCAAATTCTCATTCAGTTAACTTTCATTCCGACTTATAATTTAACTTTTATCACGTGATAGATACGTCAACTTTCCACGTATTTCACGTGATGAAAGTCTTGGTTTCATTAACTTTTAAAGTACCTGAAGTGGTTTCCATGCAGGCAGAGAACAGGAAACCTCCTGAGTGTGTTCTTTGTTTGGATTCTGAATGTGTTCGATTGAAATTAAGAAATTGTGGTCATGTTGCATGTATATCTTGCCTCATACTCCACTTCCAGGTATAAACTCCGATAACTGCTTCATGTAGGAACCATCGGTTTAGGGTGAGATCCAATTAAGGTCCCGGGTTAGGATCAGATGTCTGGTGGACGATTGTCCGAAAAAAATTCATGAAAACGATGTGAATGTCGTACTGGATGATCAGAATGCAAGGCATAAATTGTTTTAATTTCTCCACTTTCATTAGGTAGAACAGCTTGGATTCTGTGATGTCTTGTGAACAACGACAATGGCTGCAGTATTGTCATAACAAAGACAATATTATAATGGGACTAGCTGGTCCAGACCCTGGCAACCAAATGAGATTGATCCGACGTTGTCCTACCTGTAGGGTATGTCGAATTTAGAAAATAAAGAAAAAGATAAAGCTATAGACGATTTACTACAAACGAGAAGGCTGCAACAACGTACGATGTGCGAATTCACGATGTAACACTCAATTTTGTTGGGAATGTGGCAAGCCTACCAGAGGTTTCAGTCATTTCGCGGGTGAATATAAGAACACCTGCAAGTTACTCAATGTAATTTAAGGAAATGACAAATGTATGCTTTCTACGGATGATATGGAAAGAGGGTTTTTTTTATTCCGATTAGCTCGAGATGTTTATCCATTTGGGGTATTTTTCGGCATCCCTGTCATGTTCTTCTTGTTATTTGTGAGAGAAAAACAAGACAAAAAAAAACGTACTTCTTTTCAAGATAATATGCCCGTTCGTGCTGATTTTTCTGTTCCCATATAGCTGCTGTGATCATATGATCAAGAAGTCCACAAGCAGTTCACAGTACCTGACCGAATCGGAACGCATACTGATGACTGTCAAGGTATTTTGATCACTAAAATAATAAAATAAATCACTAGGTCCTAACAATTGGGACCCTAGCTATACCAACAGGAATAGTATTATCCATTGGTTTCATCTTAACCGCAGCAGTATTATTCTTTGCTTACATATTATTCTACTTACTCAAATTGACACCAATGAGCAATAAGGTGAGCTCAGCACGCAACAAACATCTACCATAGTTTACAGATCTTAGATCGATATGACCGCTTCGTACCTTTCGCTAAATATATGGGGGTTATGAGATACAAGCACATGCTGAAAGATGTCCGAGAAGCTCGAAGACTTGAGAAAGATCGCAAGTTTGACGAAAAGGAACGAGATAAAGAAGAACAAAAAGGAAAACTGATAGTCTATGATGATAGATCGTTCAATAACTGCAATATCGTCAATGAAAAGCAAGAAGGTCGCACAGATTTTATAATTTGACTTTTAATAAACGAAAATATTACATGATTCAAGCACATATACATATGTAAAACAAATAGCAAAATTATGATATATCCGTAAGTCGAAACCCAAGTAACTTCTACTTTGGCAGAATGGACGCACATGATAGAATCTGTCCATAGTGATTCATGGACGTTACACTGTTGCCATCAGATACAACCATACCCGAGCGTGATACGTGAACTCTTTTGACACCGCTTTTCACCGAAGCTTTGTCTTCGGACTGTAAATAAAAAATGTTAATTTAACTTTGTGTTACTGCTACCTGTATCGCTACGTCGATGTGCGATGTGCGAAGATGTATCGACTCGTTGGTCGGATCGAAGCTGAAGAAACGTGGTCGGCTCTCAATAGTTAAACACCCCGATGGCTGATATTTCAAGTGAAATCCTAAAAAGCTGAGAATCAAACTCCATTAAATTAAAAAAGAATGAACCATTCAGGTGCATGATCACCGATCCATCAGGCTTACGATCGTACATAGCTTGATCCACGATCTCATTACAAAGCATCATAAACTAGAGTAACTAGATAAAGTAGAAGCGAAGATTATTTTACCTGATTGCCAGTTTGAGCTTCGGAATAGAACATCTTGAGAGTATAATCATTTTTGTGTGATGAAGGAAAACTCAATTGGCTAATTGGTATAGATGAGACACCTTGTAATATAGCATTGCCCCAGTTGAGAAGATTAAAAAAAACCCTTTATATTCATCAGATACGCTTCAAACAAGTGGCTCATAGTAAACAAAACTCCCTCTCTACCGAGAACAGCAATCTTATTGATCGAAGACGCTTCAAGCATAAGTTGTGAAAAGAAGTTTTACCAGAACTTACTGAATTTCGAAAATATACTATCTTTAGTATGAATAATCTTTGACTTGCCATGAAGAATAGCTGATGTACTTCCAGAACTGTTCATGTAGCCCCAAAATACTGAGTTTCGAAAAATATTACAAGTTTGAAATTGTTACCACAAAATGTTTGTGATGAACGATTCTTATGCTGCGATCCACAGACATTTCAATAACTAAATCAGCAGACAGGATCGTTGAGATCGTACCAGCCGGTGAAACATAAACAAGAGGATAAGCTATCAGTCCACGCTAAGGAAAAAAACAATGTTAATAAATGAAAAAATTTCTTACTGATAATCGTGACGATGCATTGGACGAGAAGCCTCGGTCGAAGTAATGTGGGTCCATGTGTTTAACAGCATCCATTCCATTTGTACTTTCTCGACTATCTACTAAACAACTACAAAGATTCTTCGACGAATTGAGATAACTACAAGTCTTATGCACGATTTCTGCTTTTAGGTTTAAGGCAATTGATTGTTCAATTGTTGGAGAACCTTGAGGAGAGTCCCGTGCTCTGCGTAACCCACTACCATGAGCCGAACTGGATCGCATTGGTCGTGGTGCTAAAAAAAAAGGTCGTCACTTATTCCGTACAAGTAACGTACATCCATCTTTTCTAGGTGTTCGAATGGAGTTCTTAAAGAGTTTCGATGCGGGTGTTTTGATTTTACATTTTTCAAGTCTGTGAAAATAAGCAATAGTTTTGCTGATAGTTTTTTAAGATATTCACTTTTTAACATTCGATGTGGGTGACTGCAGGCTTGAATCAATGTTCTGTAAATATAAACATACTTTCCGTTTGCAGAATCTTTATAGAATACCAGAAAGTTCAAGTTGTTGGTGATACCTCTATCTTTCTGGGAAATACCGTTTATATCTCGGCTCTCTTCCGTAGCAGCTACCAGAACATCAGCAGCACCTTCCTCACTCATTACGACCTCGAACGCAATAATTACTCAATTTCATGAATAGGACATACCACCAAACTTTCGAATTACTGACAACAATCTTCTGGGTGTGATTTTGAAAAATATTAGAGCGGTGAATCGGCAAAGCTTCCACGTCCACGGAATTAGCATAATGTGGCGTCTTCAAATGTAATTTGAAGGCGAGAAAGCCCGGTAGATTCAAAAGACAAGTAATAGCTCAAGGAACGTGAATTAAAAGTTTATTGTATTCACTAAATAAATTAATTTATTACGCGGCAATTAATAATAAAGGAATTATCGACAGTAATAGAGGGTCAGTTGTAACTTAATGAAAAATTGTTCGGTTGCGCATACAAGTTATCGCAGTTTTCTACCCGAGAACGAAAGGATGAGCTTTACAATGTGCCAAGAAGTCGTGAAAACGACACAACAATAACCATTACAGTCTGTACTACTCCTAAAAAAGCACAGACATAAGCGCTAACTGGCTGACTAGCGGCAGATAAAGCGAACGCTAAAGACATCGAAGTTATGGTACTTAAGGCCAGAGGACCAACAACACATAAGACTGAAAAGAAATGAAGATTGAAATCTAGTTGAACTACTTACCTAAAAGTGGAGTTACAAAGAGTAGCATGGAAGTATGTCTTCTAAGGAATATTGAAGCAGTTAAAGCTGCTCCCAAGAAAAGAAGGTTGTAAGACAAAGCCATCCATATGAAGATAAAAACAGTTATCTCCCACCAATCATGGAAGTAGGTGTTATGGAGGTGAAAAACAGATGTGAGTGTGAAGCCTTCATCCCGTGGAAGAGAGCTATGGAAATTAAATGTCAGAAGATGGATTTTCTGGTAAACCTGATTGTGTCCACTGTAGCATTTATAGTATCCATATAGTCGAGCGATCCATTGAAAAATAGGTTTGCTACATCATCAGCCATGTACGCCTAACTTCACTAAAATGAGTTGAAACGGTAATAACAGGTGGGAGAAATCGACAGTCAGTATAATAAACGAGTTTAGACACTCCATCATAAGAACAACAGAATCAAGCGAGAACTCTCAAATCCTTTATTATACTTCCTTTTTAAAAACTTAAAAAAACTACTTCATACAATCTGCGCATCCAAAAAAAATGATGACAAACAGAGCTACTTGACTATTACATAAACAAATGTAATGCATGAACGGTAAAAGGAGAATACTTTCGAGAGTTACCCGAATAAGGAGTTCAACTCAAAAAAAAAACACAACGTTGAACCCTTCAGCGTTTGAATATATATGTCTTACAAACTAACAATTACACTGCTGTCGAATACAGAAGTCAAATGCTTTTCGGCTTCTTCCCCTAACCAAGAAAAGGGCACAGTACAATCACAAACAGCACAATCTGATCGATTAAAATTAATACTAGAATTTAGAAAAAGCTCCTACCTAGTTTTTTTGGGTTGGTTGCTGTGCACAGCTGAGCGAAACTTGTTCGCCCTAGAACAAAAGGACTAGATGTGTAGAGCTGAGAAGTTAGAGTTCCAACCATAAATACATGATACTGAAAAAAAAATGATAGAGGTCGGAGAGACATTGCCCATACATTATCTCTTTCACAACTGAACTTATTTGTTTCAAAACCAATGACATGAGCTGTTTTTTGAGTTGAAATCCATTCAACTACAGAAGCGGGTAAATCTTCAGACAGAACAATAATTAACTGAAAATTAAAGATCACACTAAATTTAAGGTGAAACTTAGAACTTCTCACCTTTACTTTATTAGGAAGGTCGCTCGCATCAGTACAGTGATTGTATATTCCTCCACCAATTTGAGATTTACCAAAAACATGAACAGAGTTGCTAAAACAACTGAGTTATATCTTTACACACGTAAGCAGCTTACCCTCTGTTGACGAACCCGCGAGAACATTGTAGCAATAACTTACCCGAGATTTTTTTGTCTGCGAGAAAAACGACATCGTGGATATTAATTGAAAAACTACGAAGAGAATGATCAAGAAAAGCAAAACAGTTTGAGAACTTACCGCTTGACGATTGAAGCTGCATACACGAAAAGTCTGTCGGCAACAATAGTATTATACACAGTAGGCCCCAAATAACTGATACATTCCTAAAACATAATCCATCGAAAAATCCAATTTTTGAGCTGACTTTGATGAAACGTTTTTTTTCTCCTGCTTCCAAACAAGGGATGAACCCTCCTGTCGAAACACTTTCAAGGTTTACTACTTTGAAACACGGAGTGTCGGACCGATCACTACAAATAGAGTGCGTGAGAGAAAGCCCAATCCTAGCTCAGACCTTTGAGGTTCTACATAACCTTTTTCCGAAGTGATCCCGGTCCAAGAGGTAATCCTATTAGGATCCGACAGTATGTTTTCATAATGAGCAAAGTTGCGAGAAACTTTTGTCATTTCCACATTTTCGAAAAAATCTCGTTCATCAGACTAAAAGAGAGGTAATTCCTTGAATTGAAAGATAAGTATGAACCTCATTTCCTTCTTCATCGAACAACTTCAAGTTAGCGTCGAAATCGAAATCATCTTCAAGGGTTTGCAAATCTATTGGGCGGTCCAAATCACTTTTCTTCTTGTAATGATGTCCATATCCATTATGGAAATCTACTACAGGAATTCCAGACGGAGAAGCTATGAGGAACGTTTCAAAGAATTTCTCTATCTACATCTTCACCTCCTCTTTCTCTTCCTTTTTTGCGAGAATTTCCTGAGGCTGTGGTTAAACATTGTGGTTTAGGAACTTGTGGTTCATACTTCTTGTATAAAGGAGTTGGAGTGAAATCAGGGGGCCTTATCTATAATCCGAATTAAATGACTCTTCAAAACATTCTGACTTGATCAGCGTCCGAAATTGTTCCTCCAGAAACTTTCTTTCGGGAATTTCTACTTCTTGTTCGGCGACTAAAATCATGAGTTTGCGAAAAAAAACCGTTGCATCCTACTTATTTGGAATGTCATTTTCACTTGAGAAGCTACTGGAATCGTTCTCTTGACATAAAGAGTTCGTACTGTATTTAGATTTCGTGTATGGCAATTCTTGAAATATGAGACTTATTAGAATTTTTGCTCGCAATGACAGTACCACTCGCACTCTTGGTCCCTTGATTACGATTTTTTCTCTTTGGCAAACTACGTTTGTTCTGATAAAATATCAATTGATCCGAATAAAGAAATATGATGGGAAACCTTTTCTTCCGCTAATTCATTTGGTTCGTCGGAAACAGAAGGATCTTTGCTGGTCCTTAAGACTTTAATGTTGACGATCTCCGTACCGTTTAAAACTATGCTTTTATGTAACGGTACTCCATCTCTACAAATCGGGAATGTCGATTTCGGACATTATAACAAACCGAAAAACACAGTCCAATGTTATATTTTTTGTTTTAGCATCAATAGCAGATAGTTTTCCTTGGTAATATCCTTTGGATCCACAATCAACTGATAATACACCTCCAATACAACTTGTCATCTAAAACACGACACGGAAATTGAGCGTAAGCTTATGTTATGTAAAGCGAAATATATTGGAAGGCTGGAACCATTACATAAAAGGCTCACAATCTCTAAGCAACTCAGAGTGTTTATTAAAAGAAGACGGAATTATAATGAGATGAATGGGCTTAGGCCATGTATTCGAGAGGTCTGTTGAAACCTCCTTTTCGGTTCATGTATTGACGGTAGCGTCGTTGTTTATTGATTTTGACTTCACCTTCATAATTTCCTTCGACCTTAATTGGAAATAGACTATATTCAGTTCAGAAAAATATTTAAAAGAACCTTTTTGTTTTTGGTAGTATCAAAACCAGTGAAGCCCATCTGAGCCATTACATCTTTCTCAGCATTAGCTAAAGACTCGATATCAATTGAGGAAGCTAAATATTCAAAGTCAAAATAATGATCAACGTATTATTATACAAACCGCGACCACGTCGATCCCTCGGACTTCTGCTTCTACGCCTTCTTTGGTCATCACGGTCACGATCTCTACGGTCCCTATCTCTGCTTCTACTGCGTCTACGTTCATGAGGACTCCTTAACAGAAAACAACTTTTGAAAAAAAATGATTGAACTAAAAAAAACCTGCTGCGCTCTTTTCTGTTTTTATCCTTCCTATGATGACGATCTTTATCACATGCTCTATCTCTATCTTTGTCTCGATCATGATGTCGTCTTTCAGGAGAGCGAGATCTTCGCCTTCTTTCTAAAGAGAAAACTATTCAATGGACAAAAGTAAAAGAGTAAACCTTTGCTTTTGCTTCGACTTCTGCTTCTGCTTCGGCTTCTAGCCATATTTATACTGAAAAAAATATAAAACTTGACTAGCAGAATAACAAATACAACAAGCTTGATCTACACTTATTGAAACTCAGTAGAAGAAGACATGACGGATATACATCATGTAGTTAGTGAGAGGCTGCATTTTCTAGCAGTAATGAATATGTTACGCAGAAAGAGAACATGTAAAAGACTTATTGAAAGGAAGAGCAACGAAAACGGTTTGATTTCCAGAAAGAGCAAAATAAGATTCCTTCGTTTGAACGTTTTTCATTTATTCCAGTACATAACGCTATGTTTAAGTTCAAATAAATTGGTGATACCCTTCAAACTCCTTGTTGGGAAACGTATGAAACCACCGGAAACTCTCGTTGAAACGTATTTTTTGAGTGAGCGCGTCCTGCGACGTGAGAAGTAAAATACGTCCGCGGGCTGTGTACCCTTTTGCAATTCAACGTCATGCTAACCGTAAGCCAACGTTGCTTATATACTTCGGGGGCAATGAGAACGGTATATAAGCCGGTAGTAAAGAAAAAGAACAGCTTAACCAGGAATGATCAGTTTGATTCAAGTTTTCATGATGTCTTTGCCTAACAGTTGAACATGTTCTCGATAAAATATCTCATTAATATTCATTCGTCTTCATACAATTAATGATAGAGGAAGCAGTAAAGAAGGAAATAACACAAGCGAGAGGGAGAAAGAGAGAGAGAAAAAGAGAGAGAGAGAGAGAGAGAGAGAGAGAGAGAGTAAAAAAAGAAAAGGGAAGAGATAGAGAGAGATTCAAATGTCACAGAACTGTTTGCCAATTGAGTTTCGTCTACTTTGACCAAGTCGCGTTGTGTAAATAAGTGGTCTGCGAGGCACCATCATTTGGTGCTTACGTGGACATTTCGGTTCACGTTGAGCTTTCTATTCCTTTTTAACTTGTTTCTTTTTGTTTTACAGCTTTTTTCTCTATTCTTATATTGAATTGCAGTGTAATGAAACTAATTCCCCTGTTAGTGTGTTTGATAGTTCATGCACTATGTGAGGAAGATTACTATAAGATGTTAGGTGTAGAAAGGGATGCCGATGATCGAACTATCAGAAAGGCATTCAAAAAAGTAGCTTTACTTAAGCATCCTGATAAAAATAAGGTACAACCTTGTTTAAGTCGAGCATTCAATTTTTCCACCTTCTCAGGATGACCCATCCGCTCATGCTGAATTTGTGAAAATTAATAAAGCTTATGAAGTATTGAAAGATGAGGAACTTCGAAAAAAATATGATCAGTTCGGAGAAAAAGGACTTGAAGACGGATTCCAGGTGTGATTATTGATGATTTGATCTAAATAATTATATCTTCCAAGGGCGGCAATAACTATCAGAGTTGGCAGTTTTACAATGATAACTTCGGTGAGTTTGTTTTGAAATAATATGGAAAAAGCTCAAAATTAAGGCATTTATGATGATGATCAAGAAATTGTTACTTTGAACAGAGCCGATTTTCAAAGATTAGTCACTGATTCTGATGACATATGGTTTATCAACTTTTACTCAACTTACTGTTCCCATTGCCATCAACTTGCTCCTACTGTAAGCCTTACCATAGTATTACCGACAGTTTGAAAATGAGCAATCGTTTTAGTGGAGAAAGTTTGCTTCTGAAATGGAAGGAGCGATCAGAATAGGAGCTGTAAACTGTGCTGAAGATCCTATGCTTTGTCAATCACAACGTGTTGGAGCTTATCCTTCTTTAGTTTTTTATCCAACGGTCAGTTTCTTCTGAACATTATTCCAATTGAAAGTAAATTTCAGGGAGAATTTTACAATGGAGCCAGGGAAGTAGATAATCTGGTGGACTTCGTGATGACTCGGCTAAAATCAGAAGTTCTCCATTTGGATAACGACAACTTCGAAGCCCTTAGTCATGATTGGGAACCTTATAACTCGAGACCATGGGTGATCGACTTCTGCGATGAAATGGAAGCTTGTTTGACTGGAAACAACAGGTTTCAGATATATCGGAGCTTTTTGAAAATTCTGAAAATTCATAGGAGAAAGTTAGCAGCGATGCTCGACAGCCTTGTAAATGTTGGAACCATTGACTGCACTAGAGAAGGAGGATCCAAAAAGTTATGTGATGAGCTCGGGAAACTGGATGGTATAGCTTTCTATCCTGCTGGACGAATAAACAAAGGAGAAGAGATTGTAACATTTCTTGTTTTTCAAAACTGAAATCAGAATGAATTAAGGTATTGGAATCATTAGATCCTCGTGAAATCACTGAAAAGTGTGTTGGGCTTCTGGATGGTTTAGATGAGATTGAAGAAAAAGAACTAGACGAGCTTTTCGGTATCCAACAAATTTTTTAAACTTGCTCAACTACCTTGGTTCTAGTTGCCACAGAATCAGAGTTCGCCACTGCTGCTTGGTTCATTAAAGACAAAAATACCTTGAATGAATACAAAGATTATCGTCGCCTACCAGGAATGATCAACGATATAAAAGTATTGATTATGTGATGGCATTGTCACGAAAGTTTGTTTATAGATTGGATATGTTGACTGTTCTTCTAATCCTGAAGTGTGTAATCATCATTTGGATGAATCCAAACTACCCCAGTTCGTTGTTTTTAAACCAACGGGAGGATTCGAAATTGATTACGGTATGAAGTTTTCGGTGTTTGTAAACTGTGAAGGAACTTTTTAAGTTAATAAGAAAGGATTCCGAGATGTTGCAGTCTTCATTAAAGAGTCTGCTGTTTCTCCTCTTCATGCATTGGATGAGCACAAGTATTACGAAGCGGTAAATAATAAAGAAATGTGGATAGTGGATTATTTTGCACCTGTAAGAATATTCATTAGATCATCGTGAAACTAACTTTTTACAGTGGTGTCCACCATGCATGCGCTTAATGGGGGAGTATCGTCGTTTTCATGCAACAGTCGATCAATCTGATGAAAACATCGCCAAAGTTAATATCGGATCAGTGGATTGCCAGAAATATCGCGATATTTGCCAAAACGCTGGAGTTCAAAGGTTTTCTACACTTAAAAGAAAATGAAAAAGTTCGATTTTTAGTTATCCAACAAGTATCTTGTACACTAATGACGGTAAGCAACACAGGATGGTGGGCTTCCATGGTGTTCAAGCAGTTGTTGACTTTATTGATGTTGATAGCAACCTTTAGACTTAAGATAACTCCAGAATTTTCAGAACGCACTCAATCCTGCTGTTGATGAGTTGACTCCTGAAATTTTTACCGAAATTGTAACTAACAGAGCGGACGATGAAACATGGGTAGTCGACTTCTTCGCTCCTTGGTGTGGACCCTGCCAACAGGTCTTTCTTTTCTTTCTACGTATCGCAAAACTTGTCATATTTAGTTGGCTCCCGAACTTCAGAAAGCAGCAAGAAATCTTAGAGCTTATGATTCTCGCGTGAAGATAGGATCTGTTGACTGCCAAGTACAGAAAATATTCTACAGATTTTCGAGCCTATTTTCAGGCTCATTCTGAGTTCTGTAGAAAGCAAATGGTCGCATCATATCCACTGATACGGCTGTATCCTGCAAAATCAACGAAGATCAAGAGAGCAGTTCATTAGTAAGCTTGTCATATAGAAAATTAGAAAAATCCATACTTTAGTGAATACCCTCAAAACATGTGGAGAAATGCTGATTCTATTGAACGTTGGGTGTTTGGCATGCTTCCTTCCATAGTTTCTAACTTAGGAAATGATTATTGGACAACTGTAATAGTTGTATCCCTCCTGGAATATAAAAATTGTTTCAGGTTTTGGATTCTGACGAACCGTGGATGGTAGATTTCTTTGCTCCTTGGTGTGGTCATTGTGTTCAGTTTGCCCCCGTATATGAACAAATCGCCAAGGTGAGTTGTGAAGCTAGACAATCTTAATGTTCATTGTTATCTAGGAATTGGAAGGAAAAGTGAAACTTGCTAAAGTTGATTGTGACCAATGGCCCGGCGTATGTCAAGGTGCTCAAGTTCGTGCTTATCCAACTGTTCGCTTATACACTGGAAGAAAGAATAATGAACGTCAAAACGTTCACGGCATAACGATTCAATCACAAGACAAAAATATGATACTTAACATAATCTCTCAGCAACTACCAAAGATTCGCGATGAATTATAACTTTGTTTGTTATTTTGTGCCTTTCTAACTCTTTCTGTTATGAAGTGATGTCTATTACAGGTGAAATCTGCTTTGCATAATTTCGTGTTGAATGCATACTAATTTATTTAAACTCTTCGAAATAAACGTTTACGTCTTACTCCCTATCAATCTACCTGAAATAAGCAAACACCGTTATATGGGGAATATGAAAAAACATTTGAAAAGTTTGGTTAAATAGTTCTCACATTTTTTCTGAACTAAAAGAGGTTGTATGCCATTCTAATCAACATTCTCACACGATTTTTCCCGTACAACTAAAAGGTAATACCCTGTTGCAAGAAGTAGTGTCAGTAGACATCGTGTTCACTAAATTTTCACAATATGGGCTTCTTCCCAAAGCAATATGAGAACAGCGAAACTGTGAATAATTTTTCACTATTCATGTTTCAATCATGTGGAGGAATTCATTAGTCGCCTCGTCTCGCAACTTACACGTAAATCACGTGAACTCCACGCCAGATCTCATTTCTTATTATCTCGTGGGTGTACTGAAAAACTTGTCTCTCCTGCAAAAACTTTCCATAAGCACTTCTTTGGTTCCCGTAATGAAATCGGAATGAAATAGTCTCGTCAACTCCAAAATAGGTACACCAGAACATGTTCCATTTCATTTGAAGCTCAATCAATTTTCCCTTGCACGTCTTTATTCAAATTTATCAGATTTTCTCAACACAGAGCTTAACTTACATCGAACGATTTTAGATAGTTAGAGCACACATTTATAGTAATTAATGAGCACTGATGTTGATTCTGTGCAACCTTGTCAGCAGGATGACTGGATTTTTGAGTTCAAAGTGAGTTCAATTGTTGCTGCTTCAAACCTTCTTAATAATCTCAGCGCTTGGGGAAAAACAAAAAATCGTTCTATGACATACCACTATCATTAGCCAAACAGAAGCTTTTTCGTTTTGTTCTTATGTACAGGTGACTAAGCTATAGATCACGTTCAAAACTTCCCTGTATTGTAGAGTCTTCATATGGTTGTTGCAGTTTTTGTTTAATATATGGGATTTCTCTACGGATGCTTTTAAAGGTATCCCAGTAGAGCGAGGTAAGCTTGTTTTCATTACACAGAAACATTAGAGGCAAGTTCAAGATAATGTTACATAATTTAGGAAACATTTCTATATTAGATAGGACCGTCTTGAGAGTTTTTCAAGGCTTTCATCGATGGGATGCTATTCATTTTGTGCATATAGCCGAGTATGGTTATGCTATTGAAAACAGTTTAGCTTTCTTCCCTCTACTACCGGTGATCCTTAGGTTTGTTTCTGATGTTAACATGACTCATGCTTTTTATCCAGGCAATTAGCTTCTCCGCTATCCATTATACTCAATTTTCAAGTGTCTTGCATTCTGGTTGGATCTCTTTTGAACATGGTTTACTTTCGATCAATTGAATGCTGAGTAAATTATTGTTCTTTTTAGGGGTTATTCTGCGCTAGTGCTAGGCTTCTTTACTTTGTTGTTAAAGCTGTTACTCATTCTGATAAACAAGCTACGATTGCTGTTATTCTATTCGCTGTCAATCCTGCAAGCGTTTTTTTTTCAGCTATTTATACGGAATCGGTAATCATAGTATAGATGTGAAGAGTTTAGTTCGTTGTTTGAGGTTTACTCTTTCCTGACCTTTGCTGGAATAGCCTTAATGCTATGCTCAGAATCGTACTTCTTCCTCCGCTTTACATTAGCTTCAACAGTTTTTGCTCTGGGATATCTTACAAGGTTAGGATCATTTATATCTATTCCTTTACGAACTTTTGAAACATTATAGAAGTAATGGCATTATGAACATAGGCTATTTATGGTTTTATTCTGTTCTCGAGTTTCTTTTTGTTGTTGTTATAAAGCCAAAGGGTGATTATGAACTAGTTAAGAAAACATTCATTTTCAAAAAGGGTCGTTTACTCACCGGTTTTTATGTGAGTCGTTTTTGAGTACAACATAAACTAATCTCTACTCAAGATTTTCCTATGTACGTTGCTTCTGACTCTTGCCATGGTTTATATTTGGTTGCCGTTACATGTTTATAGTGAGCATCAGAGAACGAGGTTCTGCACAGAAGGTATTCATTCTTTCCGTTTTCCTGTAACTCAGTAATATGTCTCTCTTTAAGACAATTTGAAACAAGTTCCTATTCATTTGAAGAAACTTGCTCTACGATCAGAAGTCGCTCTGATAGGAGCAGTTGATGAGTTAACCTGGTGCAAGTGGGCTTTTTTCTGTTCTCCTTTATTAAGTTCTAACGTTCAGTGAGCCGTTCGGTCTCCTCCCACCTTTCTATAAAACGATTCAATTGAAATATTGGAATGTTGGGTTCCTCAAGTACTGGATGGTATGTTTTGGGTCTACGTGTATGTTTCTAATTTTAATTTCAGTTCTCAAAGTTACATTGTTTCCTATTAGCATCTCCAACTCTTTTCCTAATAGTTTATGGTGTTTATCAAATGTTTATTGAGCTTTTTCACGATGGGTCTGTACCACTTGTTCATCATCATCTATGTTTTACTTCAGATTGTTAAAAACTTTGGCTGAACAAAACGGCAGCTTCATTCCTTACACAATGCACAGCTTGTTCATCGGTTTGAGTGCCGTGTTCATGTTCAATACAGAGGTGAGCAACTTTGAGTTTTGTTTTTCAATCTTGTTTACTTTCCACTATCAGGTTGTAACACGCATGATTTTCTCATCCACACCTTTTCCTTATTTGATATTAGCGAAGTGGATGGACTCACGAACACCACGGGTATGTTATTTTTCAACTATAACTTTATATGGAATTTCCTACAGGCCAAACTCTCAGATATAGTTCATCCAGATTTTCTACCGTTCCTCTCATACTTTTCTTGGAAAGGTATTCCAGAGTTCCTTGTTTATTTGTTCTTTTTGTCATATTCTATTCTTGGCACAACAATGCATTCAATGTTCCTTCCATTTACTTAATCAACCCAATGTGTTTACGGTGAGCCGAATGCACTTAACACAAGCGTGGTATTAAACTATACGCTACTTGATACAAAGTGTATAAGAAGATTTTTCTTATAATATGTACTAATCATCAACATCGGCTTCTTTTCATATGACATTTTTCTTCTACTTACTTGTACATCCCAAAAGCCATTACCATTTTTTAAAACTCTCCTTCCTACGTGTATTCTTCATGTAACAATGTGCTGTTTTTACTAAAATAAACATTTACAATTTTCATATAACATTTTCTTTCTTTTTCGTTGTTGCAACATGTTCTCATGTTTTGTTCTTGAATTACGTCAAACGTGGGATGAGCCATAAGTTGCAGCTGCGATTATACGTTCAGAGCGGTCGGCAATGATTGTTCTGACACCTCACATATGCTCATACAATTCACATATAAGAACGAAATGAAAATACTTTAATTTGCAATTCTTTTGAAAGTTCATAAGTTTATCAGATACATTTGCCTAAACCATATATACAAATAAAATAAGTAGGAAAATTCTCGGATCACATGAGAGACGGTAGATAGTGAAATACCCGACCGATTTTTTGAGCAAAGACTTTTTGAGAAGTGTTCTATGTCATGAGCAAGTTAAGCATTGGATGGCCGTCTAGAACCAAAGTCCGGATCTGAATTGATATACTGCGTCATAATTTTTGCATATTGAGCATACCAATCATTCCAGCTTGAATCAAAGAAGCGCGGCGTTGTTTCAAGCGAGCGTAAGATGATTCATAACGGATCCCACGAACAACCAAATAAATACAGTAGAACAATAACACAGTCAGGAATAACATAGCGAAAACAAGTAGAACTAAGCGTAGAGCCATTTGAGGTCCAGCTACCTATAAAGTTGATGTGTCAACCAAACTTCCATCAACAAGTGATACCTGCGGTGTCTGAGTGGATTGGAAAGATGATCGTTGAGTCTGAACAACATCTTCATGCGGAGAAACCACTGTGGAAACTCCAAACGCCTTAAATAGGGGACACGTAATATAACCAAAGAGTAACTCAAAAACCTGCACAAAAATAATCAAAATGCCTCGGGCGAAGAGCGATGGATACATTAAAGAAGGTATGTGTCGATGAACAGCAAAAATTAACAAAGCCGAAGTTGTTGCCATGATTATCATGACGATTATGAGAGTGGCTTCAAACCAACTTGGGTGCTGAAGGGAAAAATAGTTTGTAATTCCTAGATATAGTTACCTGGGAACTCTGACCAAGATGGTAAGTAGTTATGCCTGCAATGATAGTCGACAGCAGCATTTCGGCAGAAGCAAGCATCTGTAAGCCTGATGGTAGCGAACAGCAACAACATTGCCATTTGACACTATTCGGATCGAAGTCCATTCTGGAAAATGTTTCAAAGTATTAGGAACATAACGAAGATCAAACACAATTGTAGGAAAAAGCTTGTAATATGAGGTTGGTCTTGTTATCTTTCAATATGTTTCTAGAGAGCGATGGATGAAGCTTAAAAATGATGATGATAAGCAGCTGTTATGATACGTTCAAGGAAAATGTGACACTCTGTTTTTGACTATAGTAGTAAGAAGAGATGGAGAAAGAATGGAAAATGGAAAGATAAAGGCTCAGAGAGAGACGATGATAGTAAGGTGAGGGTTGAGGGAAAGAGATAAAGAGTGCTCATCAAAATATTTGAAAGAAAAAGCGCCTGATTGGGAGGAAGACTGTTCGTAGAGAAAGTTGATGGAATGTCTTGAGGAACAATTAGTACAGCTAGTGGCCAAACAGCCAACAGGTTTCGGGCTTTCATTCTGTTCATCAGCTGTTTAAATTGATAAATGGTCTAATATGAAGGATTTGGATTTTGAAAAGAAAAAAGAAAGAGTTTTTTTTTATATTGTGATAGGAAGACGGAGGTGTTTGTAAGATAGTATTGCAGCTGAATGATGGAGAATTCAATGTACTTGAACATCCGATTATCAATGAATTAAAAAAGTTTCAAATGAAACGAAAGAAGGAAAAAGAAGAGGAGAAATCTGCGAGGCCGCCTGAATCTTCGAGCCAGCCGAAGGATGACAGCCTCGTGGGCGATTGAACGCGGCCAAAACTGAATTATAAATGTTATGGGATTAAGATGAAGTTGGCATGCAAAAGCTCAAACAATTTCCTGTCTGAGATTGGGAATAGAGCGGTGACAAAACGGAAAAAATTAAATTTTGCTACAGAATGAAAACAGGAAGAGTTTGATAAAGATAGAGAGAGAGAGAGAGAGAGAGAGAG